ATAAACATCTTTAAAAAATCATTAAATTCAACTATATAGTTTATTTTTGTTTTGAGCACAAAAGATCATTGAGTGTAATATAATTCACATTTTGTGGAACTATGAAATCAAGGCCTAGAATTGCATGAGGTGTTCATAGCTCTATAGTGTCAAGATCAGTAGCAAATTCCAAGTCCTTTTCATTCTGACGTGGTTTAATTTGTCCCAGTTGGTACTGAATTATTTTCATGGAATGCAAGCCCTTTGAAAGGGAACACTCATCAAGTGTGAGGGAAAGGAGTACAGTTCCACTTAGAATCTGCACAGTAGTCTCTCTTTTGCCCACTTTTATCTCCATTTTCCTTATTCCTCATTTACTATTTGTTTTTTGGGGTTTTTTTTGTTCTTTTTTTTTTTGGCAAACCTTAATTCCATACCCGGAACCAGGTGGCTAGAGTAGTTAGCATGACAAAGAAACTCAAACCTACCATATACATCCTTAAGAGATAGATAGAAAGGATATTTGAATTTCAGTGTGGGGAAATATTGGCTCAATATGTGCTTCCTCTTTTCAGGATTTAAACCCCAATATAATCATTATCCTAGGTACAACTAATCTGAAGCTGTAAGAGGTGCTGGACAGGGCTAAATAGTTTCATCTGGGAAAAGGGCAGGCTGCTGCCAGCTGAAGCAGACACTGTAACAACAGCTGAATCCATCCTTTTCACCAAAGGTGCATTTAAAAGGATATAATCTCACCTTAGTAGTTTTGTTAAATGTTTTAGTCAACTCCAATCTCAAAATGTTCAAAATGCAATGCCAACAATGCAGGGGAACATTTTTTATTTAACATAGGCCATGTCCTCTTGTCTAATGCATTGGAAATCCAGCAATAGAGAATTTCTTATTAGAAGGTGTTGTAGCCCAGGTTTTCAAGGGAAAAGATTTAATACAGGACGCATAATTTATAGGATTATTTTATAATTATTCACCCAAAGAGTGAAATGCAAAAGAGTGAAGGAGATCTGTCCACACACTAGAGACGCAAAGAATCCAGCTGAGGGCCTGGATCCCACAGCAACGTCCTGCACGAGTCCCACTGAAGACATAGAGCCCATGGCCCAGTCTTCCAGGAATCCATCAGAAAGCCTACAGTCCACAACAATGGCTCATGCAAGTCTGTATCAAGGATCTGCACTGAGGAGGCCAAAAGATCAATGGTAGAAGTTAGAAGGTCTGTGCCAGTGGGGTGAAGGATCTGCACCTGCAGGCTGAAGGATCTGCCCTGGAGCCAGATAAACATGCTCAAAGGATGGACCAGAGCTCCCCAAAGAGAACTGCAGTCATCCTCAGTGTCAGTGAGGACCTGAGTTCCTCCCATGATGAAAACAGTTGTATTCATATCAGGAAAACCAGTGCAACAAGCTTCTCCAGGAGAATCAACAGCACACCACCTCCCCCTCCAGTTCTGCTTTTATGCTGTTGGCAACAATCCTCAGGTGGGCCTTCAACACCCAGAACCATGTTGATTCAGTTCACTTGGGTGTTACAAGTGGACCATTAGTTAATGTACCACAGAAGGTACTGAATTAAAATACTGAATGAAGAGCTCTATGGTAGTCAGCAAGGGCTCGGAAAAGGGACCAAATTTAACACCATTAAAGAAGGTTCTACCTAAGGCCGAACCATTGCAGAGGATAGAGGAGGGAGCCCAATCACATTTAGGGTTAACACAAAACCCCCAAAACAGTATCCAATTTTCCCTTATATTAAATGTTAAAAATGAAGAGACACAACACAAGAACAATAGTTTCCCTTTATGCACATAGGGTATATTCCAAGATTCCTAGTGAATATCTGAAACAACAGTGATGAATCTTATGTACAGTGTTTTATATATATATATCTGAAGTTTAATTTATAAATTAGGAACAGTAGGAGATTAACAACAATAATTCTTAATAAACTATAAAATAATAATTACTGTAATAGGAGTTATACATACGAATGTGTTCTTTTCCTCTCAAAACATCTTTCTATTATACACACTCTTATTGCGATAATGTGGGATGGCACAACATGATGAGACTATGTGAATTAGGTAGGCACTGTGTTATAGCACTCAGCTACTCTATAATGATAACTTGGACAAAAATATTGTAGTACTATGACAGTTGATCTGATAACCGTGACCACTACTGAGGGATTAACAAGTGAGTCGCAGATATAACATGGGCACACTGGACTGAGGCATGATGCACGCCCAAGGTAGGATGCAACATGGTCTAGATTTCACTCTGCTGCTTGAATGCTATACCATTTAAAAGTTACAAAGTTTTTAAACCCTGGAATGTTCCATTTAATATTTTTAGCCCAAAGTTGATGAAAAGAAACTAAAACCACAGAAAGCAAAACTGTACATAAAACTGTACATAGAGTTGTACACACAACTCTACTTGCATCTATAGTAGGTAAGACTATAACTTGTTATAGCTTCTCTAGAGAGAACATAGTTAATCAGAAATAATAAAAATAGAAATACTTTGACAGACATTTCACCTATGGAAATGTAATCTGTGAAGGCAGGTATTTGTGCAGGGATTTAGTGACAAGAAATTTTATTGTAGTAAAATATAAAACACATGATGTGATTGATGTGACCAAGAGAAATTGGTTATATAACACTTGATGACTGCTACATAGTATTACTTATACTTTTAATATTATACAGAATATAACATTCTGTAAAATGCACTAATGAATGTAGACAAATATTTATTATATATTGTGAAGCGAGTGAGAAAAGATGGCACAGTTATGTTAATATGTGGTCTAGATAATCTTACATGTTAGTGTTAATGAACACTGAAGAGATAATTTAATGAAACTGTTTCATTTTTTATTTTTGCCTGTATCTTATTCTCTCTAATAATTGTAAATTGTTTTAGCAATAAAAGTAATACAATATGCTAAAAATTGCTGCCAAGGGATGTTTATAGTGTTTTCCTGATGTATTCACCCACCAAAACTAAACATTCAAAGTCATTCCACTGATCAGTCTTTTCAAGGAAAACTATTTCAGCACGTAAACACTGGAAGCCCTCTCTAGGAATTTCAGTGGTGAGAGTTTGAAGAGTAAGTCTTAAATCTGCACCTCTTATTCACATACTCTTTGTTCTACCTTTTGTCAGTCCACCTGGTCCCTTAAGTATTTCCCTTCTCTCCATTGGTCACTGAGGGTAAAGTAATGATAGGAGTCTGATGCGAATGATGTGTTAGGTTTTAGGTGTTAGCTTTTTGTTATAAAAAAATACATGCTTGGTTGTTACACCCAAAATCGTAAAGTAGAGAAAATTTCGCAGTGAGTAAGAAAAATACCATTAAATGGGCATACTTATAGTCTGTATCGGGTTTTTTACAAATTATTTTTCTTTTTTGCAGAAAAAAGCATGCTGTATACATGATCATATGCCTCATTTTTCTGAGTAGAGGTGCATAGAAAATATTTTTTCAGTGTCCATTTTCTAGCCTACATTTCTCTTATTTATTTATTTATAAATACTCTTGCATGCCTACTACATGTCTATTAAATGTGAAATGTACACTTGTAGAGAATAGAAGCATGATCTCCACCCTCTTGCACCGGAGCAGCCAAGGCCCCGAGCTACCCCACTGTGTGGTCCACTGTAGATCCCAATAAACAACATTAGCTCTCATGGGAGGGGAAGTTTAGGTGGTGACTGAAGTCACTCAGTGAGCAAGAATTATCTATGCTCAGTATTGCTCTCAGGCTTCTGCTCTTTGATTCCTTTAGTGCCCCCTAATTACTTTCCCTCTCCCATGAGAAACAAATAGAATCAGCAAATCATGATTATTGTTCTTCCTATCAGGTAAGTCATAGTGAAATGCATAGCCAAAAAAAAAAAAAAAATCAATTTAACAAGCAGAAATAGAGAACTTGGAATGGTGTCAAGTTCATGTGTCCCATTATATTTATATACTGTGTACTTACTAAAGAAGAGAGGGGATCCTCGCATTCAATATACCTTAGACGAGGTACTGAAAGAAGCTAATTTCAAAATGCTTAATGACAGGAGCAAAGCGGAAGCTGATTATTTAGGAGGACCTTTTAGGTTATATGTGAAATCCCTCCATTGCGTTATCTGACAGGTGTGCCTGAGCATGGAGGGCAGAGGCAAGGATGATTAATACACTGGGGGCTCTTGGGAGGTTCAGAGCAGTGGCTCATTGCTAATGTGAAAGTATTTTAACAACTGGTGTGATAGAATTAGCCCCAGAAGGTATGTATCCCAGAACTTTGGTGATTTCTGCTCTTGGAAGGACATCAAAGTGGTCAGAAGAGATCTCTTTTTAAACAGTAGAAACTTGTGTATAGTGGATCCTCTGTTAATTTCACTAAAGTAATGATTCTAAATCCACTTAGACAATTAGAGAAAGTCCCATGAGGCTACAACTGAAATCAAATACAAACTTTATAGGAATACAACTGAAATATTATAGAGACACAGGGAAAAAGAGAAGAGATAAAATAAATTACTAACTGGGTTTGTTAACTGGACAATCTGAGTGTCTGTTTAATGTGAAAGAAAAAAGCTGGGCTTGGTAGCACACCGCTGTAATCCCAGCACTTGGAAGGCTGAGATAGGAGCACTGCCATGAGTTCAAGGCCAACCTGAACTACATGGCAGATCCTTTCTCAAAAAAAGAAAAGAAAAAGAAAGAAAGAAAAAAGAAAGAAAGAAAGAAACAAAGAAAGAAAGAAAGAAAGAAAGAAAGAAAGAAAGAAAGAGAAAGAAAGAAAGAAAGAAAGAAAGAAAGAAAGAAAGAAAGAAAGAAAGAGAAAGAAAGAAAGAAAGAAAGAAAAGAAAGAAAGAAAGAAAGAAAGAAAGAAAGAAAGAAAAGAAAGAAAGAAAGAAAATGGAGTCACCTTTTATGAAATGGTATTATATGTACTTGCAATATGTATGATAATATTTTAATAGTGTGTTCTTTTCTTTCAGATTTCCTTATTGGAAAAGGCTGGATTTGGAGGTGTTCTTTTATATATTGATCCTTGTGATTTACCAAAGACTGTGAATTCTAACCATGACACCTTCATGGTGACATTGAATCCAGGAGGAGACCCTTCTACACCTGGTTACCCAAGTGTCGGTAAGTTTGTTGTTCATCTTTATTATACCCTATGCATTACAAAGATGCAATGTGTGATTATTTGCTTCCTAAATTAATTAAGAGATAATAAAGTCAAATAAGACTTACTACTCAGTATTTTAAAGGGGGAATTTTTTTAGCTTCTAACATTATAGACTATTAGCTAATTGGAATACAAATTTTTAAATATATGTGTGTATATACAATATTTTATCTAAATATATTGTAGTATCACAGATAGTGAACGAATTTATCGTTGATTGACTGATAAGATAAACACAGTGAAGGGAGGGTACTCCACATCCATTCAATGCAGCAACAGATCTCCAGGAGCATGAACTATCTGCTGGTGCTTTGAGGAAGCTATAATTACTTAGTCCTGAGTCTAGGACAACATATGCAGTCCGGAGTTCAGGAGTACATATGGTTAGATTGGCAAAGTACTGGGAAAGCATGCTACAGAATAATATGATCAAATTTTCTGGCTCCCTGAGAAAAGGACTTCATTGGTATGGGCAGTCACTGGCAACATACAGTTGGCCATCTTTGCATCAAACTTTCCTCTTTTCCCAGTAATCTGTATGACAGTGGGGGTGCTGTGGCAGAGAGAGGTGTTGATGTTTTCGGCAGATGCTTGTTTTATCACTGAATTGCTGTTCAGTGTGTCATTGGCACAGACTTGTTTCATGTGTATTGCCTGATGAAAGAACCTTTTGAACCATCTTACTTCTAATTAAGAATTAAATCTTAATTCTTGAACCAGCATAATTCAAACCTATTAACCATCACCCTCCAGTCCTAAATAAGCTGACAAAAGTGTGTAATTATCCATACATCATTCCAATATTTTTCCTCCTTTCCCCAAATATTACAAAAGACTTTACTGGTAATTTTATTCAAATCCACTTGTCTTTCTATATATTAACTCTATCAATAAATTAATAACATTCTCCAAGAGAAAAGTAAATTGAGTCAAGAATTATAATGTGTTTATTTTGGGGGGATCTGCTGATTACAGCCTTGTCTTCTACTACAAAAATACCCCTTAATAATTAATGAAGGGCTTTTTTCTGAGACCTCACTATACTTTGCACAGCCTCATGGCTCGGTATTCTCATTTTGAAGTGAGAAATAGTAGTTGCCTGTCTATGATTTCTAGGTGTCACTGAAACCCCTGGTCAGTTCTCTCACTGGCAGATGCTCTGACTGCTCTTGATTGTAATTCCTCAGCTTCAGAGGTTACATTTTTGGACATGTCAGTGGGCTGTACCAAGTGCGGATCATTTCCAAGTACTCAGCTTATTTTGATGAGGTCACAAGTTGGCAACATTTACCCTTAATAGTTTATTTCATACATGCAGAATTTAATTTTATCTAGAAAAAAAGTATCGGCCAGAATTTTTTCTTTATTTTTTATTTTGAGATAAATTAAACTTACAAAAAGTTACAAATATAGTGTGTATGGTATCTGAGTACCTTTTTCCCAGCATGCATATTGATATGTCAAATCACCATATCCAATTGTAAAGTCCATAAAATTAACATCAACACAATATGACTAAATCAGTACAAACTCTATCCAGTTTTCTTCCTTTCTCACAATAATCTTTTTTTTTCCTCTTTTTTTTTTTTTTTTTTTTTTTTTTCTGGTACCGGGAATCAAACTCATGACCTTGCGCTTGCTAGGTAGGCACTGTGTCACTGAGCTAAATCCCTAGCCCCCAATAATCTTTTTTTTAAAGTGGTGCATCTGATCTGGAATCCTTCCTGCACATAGCTGTTTTCTTAATCCTTTCTGATCTGGAATATTTCCCCAGTCTTCCATAATCTTGACACAGTTGAAGAACATTGACCTATCATTTTGTAGACTGCCCCTCATTTGAGCTTGTCCAATACATCTAATGAGTAGATTGAGGTTATAGATTTTTGGCATACTACAGAATAGAACTTATATTCTCTTGATGTGTATCAATAGGTTCACACTCTTGTTTTGTCTCATATCTCACGATAGTAACATGGATCCTAAAGTCATGACAGTGTTTATCAATTCTCTCAGCTATTAATTTTCCTTTGAAATGAATGACTTTATGTAGAAAAATACTATGATAATCTAAGTATCCTCTTTCTTGTCACACTTTTCCCTACAAATTTGAGAAACTGTGATTGATTGATCTGTGTGTGTTAAAATTAATGGGGTATTTGCCAAATGACAATTTTTATGTCCATTATCCCTTTAGAACAGCTTTAAAAGGCACATATGTACAAATGGTCATACTTTGTACTTACATTTTGAAACAAAGGTGCATGATCATATAACAGTTTTGGAAAAACTATGAATCAGTACTCTGGTTCCAGTGACAAAATATCAGTGCCGTAAATGACTATGTACTGTATTACTTAGGTACACTTACGTAGATCTCACATGAAAAATTCATTTCCAAATATAATCTGGTGCATAGAATGTAATGTCTGTTTATATATGAGCCTCTATATGATATACAAAATGGAAAATATTCAAACTACTGTATTTCTCTTTTGGACTGGGTTACTTAGAAGCTCTGGCTAGTTGCAGTGATTTATATTCCTGTGTTCTGATTCATTTACTCCCTTCCTTCTGAAATTCCTTAATATCTCTATGTTTTATGGTTTCATTGATTTTTTACAAAATAATGCAATTCTCCACAAATACTTTTTCTTAGGTGGGTGGTACAGGGGAATGCAGGTTTTGAGTTATAAATAAAACCTACAAATGATAGTTTGTCCAACATAAATCAAGTATCTGACTCAATACTAGCAATTAACTGATTAGTAGAGGAAATCTGTAACTATTTCTTGTTTCAATTTCAGGAACTCTATTTTAGTACGTAATTTGAGACTTCTTAAGTTCTAAATCAGTGTGTTCAATCAACCAAAAATTGCAGGGAATATTTTTTAACCTTGTTTGTTTTTGTATAAACAGAGTAAATGGGTTCCATTTGGTTGAAGTAAATTAACCACTCCATATGTTCTGCTCAGCTTTACCAACTGTCTGTGTTCTTCCATTTTTGTTTTATCTATACATCTTCTCACACCCCGTGTTATCATTCACTGTTTTTCCAGATAAAATTTACATAAACTGAAACACAAATATTCTAAATGGCAAGCAGTTGTAACCACTCAATTCCCATATCTCTTTAGTTAGAAACAGTTCCATCACCTCAGAGAGTCTAAATCCACTCAGTGATTCCCAAACCATCTTAGCTGATCACCAATCTCATTTTCTCATGGTACAAAATTTTATAATTGCATAAATGTGGAAAAATGTGAAATGCATCATGTTATATCCTGGTTCTTCTCACTTGGAATAATGTCTTACAGTATTTATTCGTAATCACATGTACCAGTAGTCCATTTCCTTTTACTGTTTAGGAGCCTAGTACAGTATTTGTACTGTTTCAAGTATGTGTTTTGTGATCAAGAATATCAGTATACTTTTCCATAATACATGGTTCAAATGAATTGTCCAAATGCAACACAGAAATTCCATGGAAGGTAACCCTACTCAGTAAGTCTCACTGCATAATCAAACAGTTCTTCACTGTTATAGAATCAGACAAAAGGTTAAAAATTTCCACATAACATTTGGCCCTATGACATAGGAAGGAGTATATAGGAAACATTTTTTTTTTTTTTATCAAAAACAAACCTTTGGATCCATTGGCCATGTTAAGTACTCTGAGTCTGGTTTTCTTTATTATCAAAAAGAAGATAACACTGTACCAATATGAATATTGATGTTGAGGTCTTTTCTAAGGAAATGAAAAATCGTGAACTATACCTTAGATTTGCATATTAGCCATCCATATTCTAACATACTGAATACAACTGAATACCACAGCTCAATTAAAGCCCTGAGGCTGCTGATCAAACTTTGTAACCTCCTGTTACTGTTCAGGGACCATCTTGTGCCCTTTATATTTGTTGCCAGTATGTAAATCAAGATTTTGACACACAGAGGCTGGGGATTTAGCTCAGCGGCACAGCGCCTGCCTGGCAAACGCAAGGTCGTGAGTTCAATTCCCGTTTCTGGAAGAAAAAACAAAAAAACAAAAAAACAAAAAAAAAAAAAAAAAGGAAAAAAAGGATTTTGACATACAGATTCTGGAATCACAGCTTAATTCTTGCATGCAGTAAGCTGCCATATGTTGTCATGTTTGGATGAACAACTTCTTCCCTTAACACAACTGAAGGTGTTATGTTATATTGAACATGGGCTATACCCCAAACTATAACCTAATTAAAACTGCCTGAAAAATAAGTGTGCCCAAGCACTTACCCCTGAAAGTTTTGCTTGCAAAAAGCATGGTTTTTCTTTCTTAAATGATTGTCAGTTCTCTCACAACCATCCTACCACTTACAGCATAGAATTCCATTAGTTAAATTTTTTTGAAATTTTGTTTAATGTATTAAGAAATCAGTGATCAAATCTATTCCTTAAATTTATTTGATAAGTTAACATGTGTTTCCAAGATTAAATTAGCATATCAAAGACTTTATCATAAGTAGTAAAAAAGATAAAAAACCTTGTCTTGTACTGTCTACATTCTCTAGCTAGGACCCTGAACTTCAACTGAGGAAAGAAAAATCACAGCCCAGTACATGTGGGAGGAATCCACCAATGAGTAATTCAAAGAGGCTATTAGAATGTGAAGTTTAAATAAAAACTAGATAAAAATATGATAAATCTGTAGAGAAGTAAAAAAGAAAAGGTGATTTAGATTACCATAGACAGCAAACTAGGGGATGAAAAATACACAGAAATAGAATCCAAACTTGATTTAAGGAAAATTAGGAGGATATATATGTAAGGCGGGCAGAGAGTGTTTTTGTTGTTGTTTTTGTTTTTAAGTCTTTAATTTTTCAGTTGTCCTCAGTTGAAGAGAACCTTTTGCCAAAGTGGCATATTTTGGTGTGGCATTGGTGATCCACTACAATTGATTGCATTAATTTATTATGTGTGT